TGCTCTTTACTTTACTTACCTTCAGGGTTCTTAGACACAGTTAAATTCCACTTAATACGGTCTACGCCATAAACGCCACTTATGCTACATGTATAAAGTCCTGCATCCTCAGGTTGAGCACTGCTGATACTCAGCTTTGTAGGTAAGTTGTGGTCTATTGTCACTCTGGGAGAGGAGAAATTTGAAAGTGTCTGATTCGATGTAACAGAATGTGCAAAATAAGATCTGCCTTTAATCCAGTAGATTTGCGTTGCATCTCTGGAGGATATGTTGCAACGGAACATGACCGAGTTTCCTCTGGACACCAACATACTCCTGTAGTCATCTGTAGAAACAATAGCTGGAAGGAAACGATGAATAAACATAAAAAGAACTCTGTACTTACATCTGAATAAAAGCATCCGTCACAAACAGAAATCAGCTCTGTACCTGGACAGACGCGCCATGTCACTGAGAGCAGAATAAAGAGCAGAGCTACTTGGTTTACGCTGAACATGATGCCCATCAGACAGAGAAGGAAGACAAAGTGGAGCTACACAGTTAGCTTTTACAGGTATTTGTGGAGGAGGCACAGAGAAAAGGAAGTGGTTAGTTGCTCTTCTGCTCAGCTTATAAAAAAAGAAAAAAAAACATTGTTGAATAAAAAATCCAGTTGCGTTAAAATTATATACAGTTATTTAGTGGACATATGGACAAGCAAAGTAAAATCCTTTGTCAAAATGAACTGACAACATGATCACACAACAAATAACTTTGCCACTACTTTCAGTCACTCATGTCAGAAATCAAAGTATAAAATGCTGCTACGTAAATGACTGTCTTAAAGGACAGGAAAACCACTTCTGCACTGTGTGAACCAAGACTGTTGTGTGACACTTCACAGCAGCATAAAGCGTGGGGGACTTCATAGTGTATGCGCTAACCATAATAAACGGTTCTTGATGACGATTCTCTTGTGTTGCTCAGTGTGTGTTGGAAATAGTCGACTTGTTGTGTACCATGATGGTGAAAACCACTCATCTTAAACATCAGTAGATCCTTTTCACAGAAAACAGTCTGACACATCACTGTCAGAAAAGCAGGTTTCTGGTAGTGTGTATGGTTTGCAATCACACTGTCATGAAAGAACACAACAGAGNACAGGAAAGTGTTCACATCTGCAAATCTGGAACTAAAAGGTATCACTCACCTGCAGAGGCAGACCACTGACATGACGCCGCATAGAAGCAATCCAATAGCAGGTGTAAGTATGTATACCAAATACCATGACCAGTGGGTTGCTGCATGAAACCAACAGTGAATTGAATGAAGTATCATGCAGTGTGTTATGTGTTGTGTAGAAACCATGAGCCTTGCTCTTTGCCTTACTTACCTTCCGGGTTCTCAGACACAGTTAAATTCCACTTCATACTGTTGAATCCAAGAACGGCACTTACTCTACATGTATAAAGTCCTGCATCCTCAGGTTGAGCACTGCTGATACTCAGCTTTGTAGGTAAGTTGTGGTCTATTGTCACTCTGGGAGAGGAGAAATTTGAAAATGTCTGATTCAATGAAACAGCATGTGTAAAATAAGATCTGCCTTTAATCCAGGTGATTTGCGTTGCATTTATGGAGGATATGTTGCAACAGAACATGATCGGGTCTCCTCTGGACACCAACATACTCCTGTGGTCATCTGTAGAAGCAGAAGTTGGAAGGAAACAATGAATAAACATAAAAGGAACTTTGTACTTACATCTGAATAAAAACCGCCGCAAACAGAAATCAGCTCTGTACCTGCACAGACGCGCCATGTCACTGAGAGCAGAATGAAGAGCAGAGCTACTTGGTTTACGGTGAACATGATGCCCATCAGACAGAGAAGGAAGACAAAGTGGAGCTACACAGTTAGCTTTTACAGGTATTTTTGGAGGAGGTGCAGAGAAAAGGAAGTGGTTAGTTGCTCTTCTGCTCCGTTTTATAAAAAAAATAATAAAACATTGAGGTATAAAAAAATCTAGTTGCGTTAAAATTATATACAGTTATTTAGTGGACATACGGACAACCAAAGTAAAATCCTTTGTCAAAATGAACTGACAACATGATCACCCAACAAATAACTTTGCCACTACTTTCAGTCACTCATGTTATAAACCGAAGAATAAAATGCTGCCACGTAAATGACTGTCTTACAGGACAGGAAATCCACTTCTGCATTGTGTGAACTAAGACTGTTGTGTGACACTTCACAGCAGCATTAAGCGTGGGGGACTTCATAGCGTATGCGCTAACCATAACTAACGGTTATTAACGACGACTCTCTTGTGTTGCTCAGTGTGTGTTGGAAATAGTCGACTTGTTGTGTACCATGATGGTGAAAACCACTCATCTTAAACATCAGTAGATCCTTTTAACAGAAAACGATCCGACACATCAAAGTCAGAAAAGCTGGTTTCTGGTAGTGTGTATGGTTTGCAATCACACTGTCATGAAAGAACACAACAGAGCCATTGTAGAAGTTATTAGTGGCAGCTGTGTGTTCAGTCAAAACATCTGCTATGTTCATTGTTCATCCACTAAACGTACTGATATTATCCCCAATCACCGGTTTCCGTAATTTCCCTGAGTATGAAGGTGATGTAACACATTTGTGAGACCATGTGGATATAAACAGATGCTTAACAGAAAACTCCCAGACTTTACTTTTAGCTGCATTGCATCACTTCTGCGTTGTTCTACAGGACATATCCCATACAGCACAGTGTACAGAACAATTATTAGAAAATCACCCTCCAATCAAACCCCTTGGTTCATACCTGGCTTCAGGTGCACTTTAATTTTGGTTATACTGGTTTGAAAAAAATGTCAGATGTCTCTTTGTTTTAAGAAATAAAATATTCTTATTTTACAAAGTGCCTTGTCTGGAATGACCCTGTTGCAAAATACACATGGAAAATAGTGCAGATGGAAATATCAGAAAACTAGAGAGCCCTCAGTAGAGGGACACATCTGCCCAATGGATGCATGTTGACCTGATTCTGTGTTTTACTGTGCATCTACTTGAGGATGAACCTGAGAACACAGCTTAGGAAGACCAGAGCCAGGAAAGCCACGGGCCCTGATGGCATCAGCTCCAGACTCCTCAGGGACTGTGCAGACCAGCTCTGTCAGGTGGTCTGCTACATTTTCGATCTAAGCCTGAGACTGGAGAGAGTGCCTGCCAAGTGGAAGACTTCTTGTGTGGTCCCGGTCCCAAAGACCTCGTGTCCCAAGGAGCCCAACCATTTTAGACCCGTGGCCTTAACCTCCCATCTCATGAAGGCGCTGGAGAGGATCGTCCTGAACCATCTTCGCCCCCTGGTGAGCCCAAACATGGATCCTCTGCAGTTTGCATACCAGCCTGGAATTGAGACGGATGACGCCATCATCTACCTGCTGCAGAGATCCCTGTCTCACCTGGAGGACACTGGAAACCCCATGAGGATCACGTTCTTCGACTTCTCCAGTGCCTTCAATACAATTCAACCCTCACTGCTTCGGGTGAAGCTGGAGAGAGCGGGGGTCAGTGACCAGCTGGCTGCATGGACCATGGACTACCTCACTGACAGACCCCAGTATGTGAGGCTACAGAACTGTGTGTCTGATGTGCTGGTGTGCAGCACTGGCGCTCCTCAGGGCACAGTGCTCTCACCTTTCCTCTTCACCCTCTACACATCGGATTTCTGGTACTCCACAGACAGCTGTCATCTACAGAAGTTCTCCGATGACTCTGCCATCATAGGATGCATGTCACAGGGGAACGACTGTGAGTACAGGAAGGTCATCATGGACTTTGTCGACTGGTGTGAGCAGAACCACCTTCAAATGAACGCCAGCAAGACAAAGGAGATGGTGATCGATTTCCACAGGAAACCCACACACACTCCACCGCTGAACATCCAGGGACTTAACATCGAGAGAGTGAGGACCTACAAGTACCTGGGTGTTCACCTAAATAACAAACTGGACTGGACAGACAACACTGACTCTCTGTATAAGAAGGGTCAGTGTCGCTTATACCTGCTGAGGAGACTTGCTTCTTTTGGCGTGTGCAGGCCACTGCTGAGGACCTTCTACGAGACTGTGGTGGCATCAGTGGTCTCCTATGCAGTAGTGTTCTGGGGAGGGGGGTGCTCTGAGCGTGACAAGAGCAGACTCAACAGACTGATAAAAAGAGCCAGCTCAGTTTGTGGCTGCCCCCTGGACTCCATTGAGGTGGTGGGAGAGAGGAGGGCACTGGCCAAACTGTCTGCCATCTTAGGAAACACATCCCATCCTCTGCACCAGACTGTGAACTCCTTACGCAGTGCATTCAGCAACAGACTGTTACACCCAAAGTGTAAGAAGGAACGTTTCTGCAGGTCCTTCATCCCAACAACAGTCAGACTTTACAACACTGCACTATAGACTCCGCTGGTACCTCTGTTACTGCTGCACTTTTTCTTTTTTCCACCAACAACCACATTCCACTATGTGCAATAACCATTACTACCTCATCCTTGTGTATATAGTCTTCTTTAAAACAAAAAAAAAAAAAAAAACATCTTCTGTATATAACGTTTTTTTTCTCTTGCAATTTTTGCACTGTGTGTTTTCTGTTTCTATTTCTTTCCTACTTTTTGCACTGGGTGTTCCCAACTATTCTTGCACTGACTGTACACTGTTTTTTGGAGCTGGTGTAACAGTGAACTTTATCCAATAGCAGGTGTAAGTATGTATACAAAATACCATGACCGGTGGGTTGCTGCATGAAATCAACAGTGAATTGAATGAAGTATCATGCAGTGTGTTATGTGTTGTACAGAAATCATGAGCCTTGCTCTTTGCTTTACTTACCTTCAGGGTTCTTAGACACAGCTAAATTCCACTTAATACTGTCTACGCCATAAACGCCACTTATGCTACATGTATAAAGTCCTTCATCCTCACGTTGAGCACTGCTGATACTCAGCTTTGTAGGTAAGTTGTGGTCTATTGTCACTCTGGGAGAGGAGAAATTTGAAAATGTCTGATTCGATGAAACAGAATGTGTAAAATAAGATCTGCCTTTAATCCAGATGATTTGCGTTGCATGTCTGGAGGATATGTTGCAACGGAACATGATCGGGTCTCCTCTGGACACCGATTTATTCCTGTGGTCATCTGTAGAAACAATAGCTGGAAGGAAACAATGAATAAACATAAAAAGAACTTTGTACTTACATTTGAATAAAAGCATGCGTCACAAACAGAAATCAGCTCTGTACCTGCACAGACGCGCCATGTCACTGAGAGCAGAATAAAGAGCAGAGCTACTTGGTTTACGCTGAACATGATGCCCATCAGACAGAGAAAGAAGACAAAGTGGAGCTACTCAGTTAGCTTATACAGGTATTTGTGGAGGAGGCGCAGAGAAAAGGAAGTGGTTAGTTGCTCTTCTGCTCAGCTCATAAAAAAAAAAGATTAAAAAAAATTGTGGAATAAAAAATCTAGTTGCGTTAAAATTATATACAGTTATTTAGTGGACATACGGACAACCAAAGTAAAATCCTTTGTCAAAATGAACTGACAACATGATCACACAACAAATAACTTTGCCACTACTTTCAGTCACTCATGTCATAAACCGAAGAATAAAATGCTGCCACGTAAATGACTGTCTTAAAGGGCAGGAAAACCACTTCTGTATTGTGTGAACCAAGACTGTTGTGTGAGACATCACAGCAGCATGAAGTGTGGGGGACTTCATGGTGTATGCGCTAACCATAATAATAAAATAGAATAGAAGACAATAAAACTTTATTGATCCCTTCGGTGTAAAACCTCAGGGAAATTGTTAAACGATTCTTGACAACGATTCTCTTGTGTTGCTCAGTGTGTGTTCGAAGTAGTCGACTTGTTGTGTACCATGATGGTGAAAACCACTCATCTTAAACATCAGTAGATCATTTTCACAGAAAACAGTCTGACACATCAATGTCAGAAAAGCAGGTTTCTGGTAGCGTGTATGGTTTGCAATCACACTGTCATGAAAGAATCCAACAGAGCCATTGTAGAAGTTACTAGTGACAGCTGTGTGTTCAGTCAAAACATCTGACGTTCATTGTTCATCCACTAAAGGTACTGATATTATCCCCTTACACTGGTTTCCGTAATTTCCCTGAGTATGAAGGTGATGTTACACATTTGTGAGACCATGTGGATATAAACAGATGCTTAACAGAAAACTCCCAGACTTTACTTTTAGCTGCATTGCATCACTTCTGTGTGGTTCTACAGGACATATCCCATACAGCACAGTGTACAGAACAATTATTAGAAAATCACCCTCCAATCAAACCCCTTGGTTCATACCTGGCATAACAAGAGCTTAGTCTGTCATGTAACACAGATATTTTGTATGGGGGGAAGCATTTTGCTGTAATTTACACCTATAGCTAAGCATGTACGACATATGACCTTGGATTTGACCTTGACCTTTCGTGCAAGATCAAACGTCCCATCACCACTATGGGTTCCTATCTGATTGTAACAACAAAAACTATATGTTTCTCTTACATCTTTTCCAAGTTATAATGGATTTAATATTTGTGATGATTTAAGACTTTCAGTGTGACCTTAACCTTTGTCTCAAGGTCATACGTTACATCACTAGTTTATAGGTCTCGAATGTCTGCC